GCTCCCATTAATATTCTCAACCATTTCCACCCAGCAAGGGAAATTAAAGAACATACTGAGAAAAGGAGGACACGCTCGTGACCTACCAAGAGTCTCCAAGCTGCCATTTTCACACACTGTATATCCTAATGACCAGAAGTGATTCGCATTGTCACATCCAGAAGCAAGACAGATGTTGAGCAATTACACTCATATCCAGGAAAGTGAATGAGAAAATAGCACCCAATTATTGGGAAAGGGGGAGCTTTCCATAGCAGTTTATCTGAAAGTTGGAACTCAGGAAAAAAATTTTTTAAATGTAAAACATTTCATATTAATTTGAGATATTTACTTGTAACAGAGTATGCCTAATTTTCATATTAAATGTGGAAAAGGAAGTATAAAAAGCATTACACAGTGAATATACTGCTAAAGGTAAATATTGAAGGTTACCATTAAATTTTAACATTTAGGAAAACAAACATTTAGGGGCATGTTTTTGCAAGAATCACAACACAACTAAAAGAATATATTTAAATTAGTGAAATGGATAAGAGCATTATCATTATTAAAATACTTTCATTTCGATGGACCTTAACTTTCAGCTTTGATTTTTTTCTATTAGCTATTAAATTATATCTGGGTTAATTTTGCTATTTCTATCATTGATATAGTCTAGAATATAGGGAAAAGGTAAGTGAATGTAAGCTTACCAAATTGTTTTAGTCGTATTCAAATTGTCTTTATCTTCTACTCAGATCATATGTATATCACCTATATACATTTATATTCATATTTTCATTATTTAGAATATAAAGCCTATAAGGACAGAAACTTTGCTTTTTTCGCTACTATAACCCCAGTGCCTATGAATTTCTTGATACAAAGTAACTGTCCTTATTAATACTTTCTGAAAAATTGAATACATGAAAAATATTTTTAACCATTTACTTCCAGAAAACCAGAATTGTGATAACTCTGTATCAATTTTATTATCAATATTTTGCACATTTTGCCTGATACCTTTTTTCTGTCCATAACTTCCTTCCTGTTTCTTCTTTTATATTAAGTCCCTGAAAATACCTTGGTTGTCACTATTAATTGTTCTAAAAGTGTTTCAAAAAAAAAAAATGCCACGTTCATGTTCTATGGAAACTTTTACATCAGGCAAGCTCTGATTTGTTTGCAAATTTTTGCTCTTGGCTATTCTCAGCATTTTCACAAATGCCTTAAAATTTGAATTTACCTGCTAGATATTCCCTGTTTTAATCATTAAAATTGCACTAGGATAAAAAAAAAACAATAATTTCAAATTTTGGCTTTTTGTTCCACTTTTACAGGCAAATTTTGTTGATTTTACAAATCTGATCAGTTGTAGTTCCAACTATTCAGTTAGGTAAAAGAAAAGAAAAGAAAAGAAGCCGGGGATTTATCTCAGCGGTTCAGTGGCCTGCCTCGCAAGCGCAAGGACCGGAGTTCGATCCCCGGTACAAATAAAAAAAAAAAAAAGAAGAAGAAGAAAAGAAAAATGTCAACTTTCTTGAGATAAAGCACTTGAGAGTTTGTAGGTTAAATCTGAAGTACAAAGCATTAGTCAATTTTGGAAACTTTTTTAATAAAGTAAAGTTAATGTAAAATTTATAATATAATGCAACACATAAGCACAATTTTGAGTACAGCTTCATTGTATTCTATTTTGTAGAACATGTAAATCTCAGTTACTTTCTCATCTTTGGGACGAGCAACATGCACAACTTATCAGAGGAGATGCTTACATTGGCTCGTGGTTTGGATCCAAGGCTGAAATGACATGGTACAAGGGAAAGGAGGAGAAAAGGAGCTTGATATTTGGCCTCAAAGAGGCAGGGAGAAGAGCAGAGGCTGGTGCAAGAATAGACCATTCCAGGTCACACCTCCTACTGATCCACCTCCCATCGGGCCTCCCTTTAAACACCACTCAGCTCCTGAGTCATCAGTGCCTGAGTCCACTGGAGAATTCCCCATCTCCGTGATGCAATCACCTTACACTTACATGGGAATTTGGGGGGACATGTTAGATCTAAATCATAATGATGTATGGTACTTTGAATAGTTAATTATATTAATTGCTGTCCAGAATAATTCATACAGAAAAAGATGTCTATTGTACTTCAGAGTACATTATTTCACATTTCCTTCAGACATACACACTGAAAAAATTTTGAGGTGATTTAATACTATTTTTATTTTTTGCCATTCATTGATATTTAGTTTTTGTGTCAGATGTAAACAAAAATAGATGAGTTAAGAAAAGTATCTTGAGAACTTGACAGTGAGTCAGGTACTGTTAAAAGAAACCTAAGTATATCAATTTATTAAGGATAGCTTTATATATAATCTTTACCACAACCAAATGATGTATACTGAAATTCCTCATTGTGAGAAAAAAAATGATGTTCTGTCACAGATAATTTAGTGGAAAAACCAAGCAGTTTGGATCGAGTGTTCATGTTAAACATCACAGCTCTGAATTATTCCTTGACAGAATGGTATTATCACTGAGAAGTTCATCTTAATTTTAGTCCTGTTATTACTAGTGTGGCCATTGTTGACACCATGATCACTCTCACAGATATTATTTCAAGTGTTTATGTGCTTTATATATACTATGCAGTACTTTATGTGCAACATCAATTATTCCAACAAATCTATTGTACGATTTTATTGAACAATGAATAAAACTAAGATTGTTTTACTAATTTCTTTCAAGACACTTCAATGTGAAATTCTTGAGTCACAATGAGCCCAGATTTGATACCAAAGAGTGACCATTTCTTTTCTAACTCTGCAGACTCACTTACACAGCTGTTCTTATGGTCAGAGTATTTGATCTCTTCCAAGTTTCATGTGTTGGAACCCAACCTTCAATGTAATGGCGTTAATTGGTGAAGTCTTTGGCAGGTGATTAGACTGTGGAAACAGAGTTTGATGAAGGTATTTTTGCCCTTGTAAAAGAAACCATACAGAGAACCTCTTCTTCCTTGTGCCACATAAGGACACAATGAGAAGGGGTTGTGTTTGCAGCTGAAAGTCATCAGATGCGGAATTTGTCTATGACTTAAATGTGGACATAGCATCAGTCCTGTCCCAAAACAATTTTTGTGGTACATGAACTAGCCAGTCTCACATTCACTGGTGATGACATCTCAAATGGGCTAGGAATGCCGTTAAAATCATCAATGAATGTGTCTTTGTTTCTCTGAGGAGTCTCACTTTCCACATAGGTTCACTGACTACTGAATTGGTCCATCCCCACGAATGAGCTGAACAGTGTACTAGAGACTGCACCGTAGCTCTTCCTAGGAGAAGAATTTGGGTCTTTCATTCATCTGTCTTTTATTAGATTTACTTCAAAAAACTTTCTTTTGTACAAATTGCCTTGCTGTTTGTACAGCCTTAGCATGTGTGCTCATTAAAAGATTTAAGATAATTTATCCTACACACCAGAAGACCTTTCAAACTACGATTAATTTTTCCAGACACTGCCCATGCATATAAGCCTAGAAATCAAGTTAAATGTGTTAAATGCCCTTAGTATTACAGCATCATTTGTGTGCATTTATATGTATATGCCTTTGTGTGGGGGCTTAGGTGTACAGTTTTAGTGGTATTGATCTATTGTAAACCTGGCAAAGAATGTGACCCATAAAAATTTCTGTGCATGTAGTAGCCCCCAGTTTCCCATTTAGGTCCAGTTGCTAACATCTGTTTTTTCTGAATTATCATCTCTAGACCCTAAAGTTCAGTTTTCTAATTTTAGCCCATCTCCATTCTATTGGTTTCACTTAAAGTATTTTAGGATAAAAGTATTCTAGCTCTAACATTTTATAAGTTAGCAATTAGTGACATTTATTAACTTCAATCACGTATAAAATTAACTTTTCCTTCTTATTCTCACAACCGCTTTGCAAGCATAACTTGCTGTAACCACATCAAACAGGAGTATATCTGAGAAAATTTAAATAAATTGCAGCTTGATGAGTTATAACCTTTTAAAAGAGGTTTGTTATGAAAGTACAGAAATGTTCCCAATTGCTGTTTTATTCCAAAAGTTTTCTATTAAGTTTCTGTTGATGAATAAGTAGTGAATAGAGTAGATATTTGACAACATCGTTATACTGAAGACAAATCTTGCATAATGAAAAACTGTATGGTTATGCTAGCTAAAACTTACAAAATTTTTCCTCTTCCTTTAAAACTACACATATGAAGTTCTGTCAAGAGTTGGTATGCTTTCATAAAGTGCACAATTAAAATGATATTGCAGCATATTTCCTCTTTCTTTTTGTAACTGATAAACTGTTGGAGGGAATTTGCCTTTTGATATGGATGGTAGCTCCTATAGTCCTATGCTACTCCCATATAGCTTTCTAACATTCTTGTGGTCAAAATCTTTTGTTTCACTAAGCTCACATATTCTTATATCTTCTTTTGGCTCAAGAGAATTTTAACAAGGAACAAGTAAAAGAAAATAGCTTTTCTAAAAACAAACTGTTAAATCACAAAGTCATAAACTTTGTAGGTTTAACTACAGCAAAATACATTTTATTCTGCTTAGCAAAAGACATAAATAAAAAATTAACAGATGGTTAACTAACTAAATAATGATATTTTTAGTGTATGGCACCACAAAGCATTAAAATTACTTTTCAATTCAACTGAATGTCTACTGGGGATATTACTATGCACCAAATCTTAAGTGTTGTTCTTGGGAGAGGAATCTAAATAAGAGCATTTTATTTTCTTAATTTTGGCTTCTTTGTAAGTAAGATAAGTTTCTTAAAGTACGTCCACAAAAGCTCAGATATGCACTCCTTCAAGAAGAAGATGGGTTATTACCCTTTCCTTGATTAGGAGCTGGACTTAAGAGACTCACACCTAACAGGCAGAACATGATGAAAGTGACAGTGTCTTACTTCCGAAACGAGTCATAAAAGGCTCTGTGACTATTTCCTTGCTCTCTCCATTGCATCTCACTCTGGAAAATACCACAAGTCATGAGCCAAAAGCAACAATGGAGAAGTCCCCTGAAGAGGAGCAGGAGTCTTGTCAGTGACTGGGTAAGTGAAAATCTAAGCTCCAGCCAAGCCCTCAGGTGACTGTAGTCCAAGACACTTTGACTGAAAATTATAAAACAAGCTGAGCTAGGATTGCCAGGATAAGCTACTTCTGCATTTCTTATGCAAACAAACTGTGAAATTTTAAATATTTGTTTGGTCAAGTTCTTAAGCTTGGGCTATTTTTGACACAGTAATATAAAACTGAACAAAAATGTAATTCAGGATGTAATAATCAATTTTGTGAGGGGTGGCGAATAGGAGAAGAAAGTTTCCCAATGTAAATAAGATATGAACTTGGTTTTTCAGAAAGCTGAGTATTTCTAAAGTATAATGTCATATAATCTTTCATATTGAGATTTCATATACCTTAGAAAAATTGAATTACAAAAATATTTAAAGATAATTTTCTAATAGATATTTAAATCTGCCTGTCTTTTAAATAGTTGGTTGAGAGACATCCACAGAGATTGTTATGTTTAGGTTAGTAAACTGAAAATGCCAAATTATAAAGCATTACTTTCCACAGTGTTCTTAAGATACCAAAATATTAAAGACTCATTGGATTCCAGAAATAGAATAGGTCATCTCCTTGTAAGTAGATATTATTAGACCAAAGAAGTATGAGCCAGAGAATCAGGGAAAAGATGATTTTCATACCAACAGTGTTAAAGGTCAACTGTAATGCCTTGAAAAGAGTAGCAAAAATTTATAAAATATATTCTTTGGGCATAATACTTCATAAGGAGGGTTTCATTACTACTATTAATTAGTTCCCTGTAGTTACTTTTCTCTCATTGCTGAGACAAAATATCCAACACCCAAATTTAAGGGGAAAGGTTTATTTAGCTCACAATTGGTAGAGATTTCAGTCCACCATCAGCTGGCTCCAAGGCAGGATGGCTTGGCAGAAGAGAAAAAAATTATGGAGCCAGAAGGTAACAAAGCAACAAGTGAGTTTAACAGTGTCTTCCAACCCTTTTAATCTTATTCTTGGAATTAGGGTGGCACCCAACCAATCACTCACATGTACTGATTTAGTAATCACATGCCCTTAATCATCATACACTTGTCATACATTCAGCAACCTCCAAAATAGCTCCACCTCATTTGCATGCGACTTTGGAGAATATCTAAACACAAGCCATAACATTCCCCGTCATAAAACTTGAAGTTAAATAACCCTGTAGGTAATATTATCGCTAGACACTCAGAATAACTGGAAAATATCAGTCTACTAAAATAAATATTTTAGTGTTTAGATGAGTACATCTATGCAAGGGACACTCTACAAAATTAATACTAAGTGGTTTACAACTTAAATAAACACACAAAATTGAAAGAAGCAATTGTGTCTATAAAATGAAATTAAATTTTACATAATAATTATTTTCATTTTCTCTCCCTATATAATTATAACAAGAAAATTAAATTTTGCTTTTTTATAGAAGGTATATAAAATACAAGTGTATAGCTGTACATTATTAATTTCTCACTATACTACCTGTAAAAATATGTTTATTATATCTGTGGTTTATGAAATTTTGGATACTATAGTTATGTATACCAATATGAGTGTATCTATGCAAGAATATGTTTATCTTTTACTCAGAGACTGCTCTCCACTCTTCCTAATTCTAAAATAAATGTAAAATAGACTTTAATTATTTGTCTGAAATAATTTTGCACATTATGTACCAACCCTGAGGATAAAATGGCGAATGAAAAATGATGAAATTTTGCCATTCACATAGAACATGTTCTTCACTGAGAGAATCAGACCAAAAAATATTTACCAGAGCTTAATTGAGGGAAATAGAGTTCTGAATGAGATACACATTTCACAGCATCCTTAAGAAAGGCATCTCTGATGATATGAGGCTAGAGGTGGGATTTAGAGGAAGAAAATAAGCCAGCATTCAGAATGATGTGGGAGAGTCTGGGCTCAAGAACTTCAGCTATGAAAACCACTGAGAGCAGAGATCATGCAGAGAGCATGATGTGCCACAGGAGTGGGAGGAAGCCAGGATGAGGTGATCATGCTACTCTGGGGCACAATGACTTGCAAAGAGGCCAGTAAGTGTGAGATGAGCAAGCCAGTAAGATGTGAAAATTTCACTCTATGTGTGATGAAAAGTTATTTCATTGATTAGAGCACTGATGTAATATATGTGGTTTATGTTTCACCTCATTAACTGGCTGAAAAATTGATGCAATAAAGAGAGAGGAAGGAATACAGAATTAGATGGGTCCAAATGGAGTATAATTGTTGGTGGGGTTAATTCAAGAGATAGTTTTAAACAGCATTACTCTTTTAGGTTTGTGAATACAGCTTCTTGATGTCTGGTTGTCAATATGATTAAAGTAGGAAAATATAAAAATATTAGTTAATGAATCATGGGAATTGCTAAAAAATGATAATGATAATTTTTTAAATTTAAAATATCTCCACGTATATAGGATTTTCTTACAACTGTATGATCTTAGTATTGTTTCCATTAAAACATCTTTCCTCCAATTTTAGTTCTTTCTTTCTTCTTTCTTTCTTTCTTTCTTTCTTTCTTTCTTTCTTTCTTTCTTTCCTTTTCTTTTTTTGGTACCAGAGATTGAACTCAGGAACTTGCACTTGCAAGGCAGGAGGCAGAACCACTGAGCTAAATCCCCAGCCCAGTCTTTCTTTTTTTGATGTTTCCTCATTCTCTAAATTAGTAACATAACTTAGAATCCACACAATTTCCGTCATAGCTGAGAATCTTGAAAAAGTCTCTCTAGTATTCAATGCATCATCAGAAGATGTTAAGCATAATTGTTGTGTGAAGGATGAAAGGTACAAGGGAGGAAGGAAGAAAAACAAGGAAAATGAGGGCTTTAGTTTTTGTAATTGTGATCTTAAATAAAATTCCCTATTCACAGTCAAGTCCAGTGGTGTTGAGTACTTTATTCATGACTTTTCATTGTATAAAACCTCTGTTCTAGGACCTCATTGTGGTGAGATAGCCTGAACTTGGCAGTGCCAGCACTTTCTAATTAATAGTTTGTGTGAAGCAGGTGACAGGAAGCCATTCTGATTCCCATCCACACTCCTCAGACATGTGTTTCCTTGGCACTCCATGAGCCCCAGATGTTACTAATCAATTTGTGTGAAGTTGTCACCTTTCTGCACCCTTCAATCTGACCATGAATATAACACAACTCATCAGCTAGTGAATATATGTGGTGAAATGTAAAATGCACAGAGATTTGGTGAAATGTGTTGTGTTTCTAAAGGAAAATGGCGAGTATGTGTTAAACATTATGCAAATAATTTTATTTGTCTATTCATATAACATTCTCACTGTTGTTTCTATTAGAAATCTTTGCATTGGTTATATCCTTTTTTAAATTATTTATAGAAATAACTCGAAAATTCATGGGTAGGCAGTTTCTGTCACATCAAAATATTACAGAGTATCTTCATTCACCTTGATCACATTTTTGGCACCATGTACCTTCAAGGTCTTCTCAAAAATCAAAAATACTGCAGAAAGTAAGTATTTTGAACTGATTTAGAACATCAAAGCAGCAAAGAGAGGCCAACTGGTCTAATGTCTCCTGTGTCTGAACACTGAATTTGACTCAAAAGTGTCCTCTTTGTAGTGAACTACAGCCTAGTTTGTTGTAACCTACTCTACAAATATACTCTTTTAGTTAAGCCACTGAACCCCCACCAATCACAGCTGCCAGCCTTCAGGCAATCTTACCCTGAAAACTGCCAGATTATGTCCAAGCAATGCAAATGCTAACTGGCACCAATTAGGCCATTTCCGTGTTCCATGACCCAGCTTGCTGCTGGTCAAAGCAGCTCAGCAGAGTGCAAGAGGGGCTTTTCAAGCTGTCTTCCAGTACGGAATGATACCCGGTCTTAGAATATTTGTTCTTGCTTTTATATTTACTCTCAAGTTTGTTAAATCAAACTGATCTGTTTTATTTTCTACATTATCATTTTATAGAGTAGATTAACAGAATGATTTTTACAGATAGGGGAGTCAGAACATAAAAGTAGAACATTCTAACTAATTTGCTTATAGTTTTCACATTATCTCATATCTAACCTCTTTTAAAATAAAGGACGTGACTACCTAAAATGTACCAATAAACTCCATAAAAAGAAAAAAAAATTTAAAAATAAAATAAAGGAAAAAACAAGAGCTGCAAAAGTTTCCATTTATCTGCAAAATCAATCCACTTTATTTTCATAAAACAACTATGCCAATGCAGCTAGAACTGCTTGAGTTCATTGGCTGTAAGTAGCTCCCAAACAATAAATGAATGTCTCATGTGTGATATGGGGCCTTTCTTCTGAATGTGTATACACTGGACCGACAATATTACTATTGCTAGAGACTTGCTGAAAATGCAGACTCTCAGGCCTCCCAATAACATACTGACTGAGAGTATATATTTCACCAAAATCTAAACAGTTATTATCTGCTGAGGAATATGTGAGAAGACCTGAGAAAGGCCATACTTCTTAAAATAAAAATTACACAAGAGAAACACAACCATACCTGTGTGCCATTAAGTCAGGACAGTTATTTAATAAAGTATAGATGTACCTCCTAGCTGATTCTTTACTAATATCCTGACAAGGAATAATCTGAAATCTAGGTGTTTCTGAGATTGAATCCAAATATGACCATTCTCTGAAATTGGGGAGAACCAATATTTCTTTGTTAGGACCTGTGGGATAAAATATTCAATTGCACATAAATTTTAACTTGGGAGCACTATAAATACAGCAGATGACATATTCTGTCTTGCCAGGTACAGTTCTGGTTCATTCTTACTGTATTTTCTAGATCAAGAGTGGTAATGAGATAATTGACAATGTGAAATAGGAAGAAAAAGTCTAAAGATGTAGGGAAAGTGAAAAGGGTAGGGGAAAGGTAATAAGGGAAAAGAAAAAATATGAGAAAATGAAAAATGGAAATTAAGTGTTTCTAAATGGGGAGGGGAAGAGGGGG